CCTGCTGATTTCAGTAGACACATTTCTGAAGTTATTCTATAATTTATCTGATAAATATCTGGAAGCACAAACACAACAGATAAATGCCTCTCCGGGTTATTAATTTTTCTTTTAGGTAAGTTTTGATTCTACTTTTCTGTCAATTTACTAAAAATGAGGATATTGCATATAATCTGCTGCAAAGTATAATTTAGTTTTCTGGAAACCATTAAACATTCTTCAAGTCACTTACTGCTGAAAACAAAGTGACATCAAGAACCCCAAACTATGAACAAGACTTCAGAACCCTTTATAAACACATCACTCCAAATCTGTTCTCCAGCTGCACAGTTTTCTACATGGGCCTCCACGTATTTTGGAATCCCAGAATCCCAGAAGGCTTGAGGTTGGAAGAGACCTCTACAGATCATCTAGTCCAACCCCCCTGCTCCAGCAGGGACACCCAGAGCACATGGCACAGGGTGACATCCAGGCAGGTTTGGAAGATCTCCAGAGAAGGAGACTCCACAGCCTCTCTGGGCAGCCTGTTCCAGGGCTCTGTCACCCTCACAGGAAAGAAGTTCTTCCTCACATGGAAATGGAACTTCCTGTTTCAACTTGCACCTATTACCCCTTGGAAGACAAGCTGCGACTTGTGAGCCTGGTCAAAGTGACTAGTGTTCATACTAAAGAGATTCACTTATCATTAGGCACTTACTGCTTTTAGGCAATGCACTTTGCTACCCCCCCTATTTCTCCTTTGTCTTCTACTTCAACATTTATACATTCTGCTGAACAAACATACACTGCTGTTCTATACAAGCTTCCTTATTTCCCCACGAGTGATATGAGATGGCAGGTTGGAGAAGCACAGCATTAAGTGAGAGGCTAGAGAAAATGAAGATGATTCATAGCATTACTCCCTGGAGTAAAAGGTCTCTGCAGGTGTCCCCAGATCCACCCCGCTTCCTCTCCACACTCCCATATCAGTCGGAAAATCAAAAGTGAGCTTGACCATCTCCATCTATGTAAGACTGCATTAGAGAGCAGAGGAAAACCTCAGCTGTAAAAGCACAATGCACACATCTACCAAAACACATCAAGATCTATAAATTATTAGGGTTTTCTCATTCAGACCAATTGTACCTGCCCAACTGCTCCAAATGGATCCAGGTATGTGGGAGCTACAACCCACATACACCATTCACAAGTTATAGCTCAGGCACAGGATCATGATAAAGTAGTTCTGCACCTTTACAGTGAAAGATAAATAGATTTTGGTTCTGACAGCTGCTGTTCCTGGACTGTAAGCAAGAAAGGAGATGGCCTGGGTGCCATAAAGGGTGACAGCTCCTCCTCACAGACCTCCACCACCAACATGGGACAGTTTGCATTGCACGGATCTCTTGAGAGCAAATTCAGCATTCCATATTGGGAAACTAAGGAAGGTTGTGCTTAGACTGAATATGGTTCAGCTTTCAGTTCTCTAATAATTTTATTATCATCAGCACTGAAACTGTTGCCAAGAGAGGTTGTGGAATCTCCTTCTCTGGGGATATTCCAAATCCGCTTGGATGCCACCCTGTGCCACATGCTCCAGGTGATCCTGCGTGTGCAAGGGGGTTGGATTAGATGATCTCTACAGGTCCCTTCCAACTTTAATGATTCTATGAAAACGCGTAGCTTGGGGTCACTGCCTTAGTGTCTCTGCCATGGTGTCCCAAATGGTTTGCATCTTATTTTTAGCCAAAGCAAGTAACTAGAGTAAAGGGATCCCAGAATCCCAGAATGGCTGAGGTTGGAAGGGACCTCTAGAGATCCTGGCACTTGATCTACTAAGGCTGGAATGGTAGTGAACAGTAGTTGTGTCAGTGTCTCTAGCCCTCACTTTTGTCTTTTTAACATGGAAACAATGTCCGGATTGGACATTTAAAGGGGAAAAAGCCTTTAAACAAGAATTAACTATTACTCAGGTAATGTTTGCATGAAATAGTTTTAATAACTGCCACTTACATTCCCTCCATTCCACTCTACAGAAAGGCAATAAATTTTCTGCAGTCTGGGCTTGATTAGATGCGGTGGTTTTATATATTTAATTGCAAAATGTTTGGTTTAGCTGACTTTTTATGTCACTGCAAATCAGAACACGCACACAATAGTTCTGTCTATAGTGGCCACACAACTGACTCTAAAAACCACAAAAGCACACACCATTTTCCCGTCTACATCTTCCCCATTTTCCTACACGCACACATTTCCTACGGGCTCACTCCAGGCAGTTTGCCATTGAGCTTGTGGAGTTCCTGGCTTACCCTCTGGAGCGGCCTCACCCCCTACAAGATTAATAGAGGAGCCAAGAGATCCAGCTTTGGCATTCAGGTTCACCCTGCTGAGGCCAGGCACTGCACACCGAGGAATCAAACCCAGATTTAGGGGCACCAAAGAGGTATCACAGATCAACCCCACAGAGACTCAGGAATTTGCCTGAGGTCCCATAAGAAATTTGCAGCAGAGTAGAACATGTCACCTACCTCCCTAGCAGGGCTGCACCCACAAAAAGCACAAATAGGAATGTTCTGGTCTTAGCCATGTAGAAAATTTATTGCTATAAGGCTGCCTATAAAGCACACCATTCATACAGGAGAGCTGTAATGAGAAGCACTGCAAGTGCCAAAGGCAAAGCCAAGGGGTAACAGTTAGCTCCGAGGACAAAAGGAGCTAAGCTAAGTAGCTAAGGATTTCTTTTAAATCCCTCCTGCACATAAAACCTTGGCAAGAAAAGCCAAAGATTGCATATTCACGGTTCTCAAGCTGTTCCAGATGCCATAAGCAGACCACTCACCTGCAAGGGGTGAGACTCCTCACACAGCTATCAATCATGCCTGCTAATTAAATGTTTCAAGTTAATTTGGCAGTAAATAAAAGAAAGGAAGATTGACCTCCAAAATTCCCAGTCCCTATTCCCCCCTCCTAAACAGCACGCCTGTCTCTTGTCCGTTGTATTACGAGCTTTTATTATCATCCCAGGGAAAACCTCCCACTGATAAGGACCATGTCCTCCCACATTATAATTCATTCGGTTGATGTGCAATGGAAGTATTATAAGAGCAACTGCAACTCTATCATCTTAAGGGTACATACAAGTAAACACCAATCCTGTGCAATTTCTTAAGAATTTACCAATGACATTTTGAAGCCAAAGCATTCAAATCAATTAAAAAAAAAAACCCTGCAAATTCCTCTAAAGTTCTGAATGCAAGAGTTATAAGTGATGTGGGAAACGCTGGCCTTCAGCCAAATTAGAAAAGAAATATTTCACTAGCCCCATAGGTTCATTAGCCTAGTTCTGCTATAAATTTTATTAGGAGTTATTATTGATTCACAGCCATAAACACACCGGGTAATTAAGAAAAGTTGAGATCTTTGCCCAGAAGTTTTCAGAGTCCTAAATCCTGCACTTGGAAGGACTTGTGCTTAGTTTTACATCTGGGAGCAGGCTTCATTCATCTCAACAACATCAGCCAATTCATGTTTCTAATTTCAGTTGTTCCTCTTGACACCGAGTAACACACACACCTTCTAAACAATCCTTTAATTTGTTGAAGTCACATGTGCTCTCAGGGTGATACATGCAGTCATATTCTACATAAATGGACAGAGATGATTAACTACTGATGCTTGGGAGATTACAAGCTTAAGTGATGTATGATCACTTACAGTGGCCTAAGAGCCAACTGAGTAAGGAGAAAAACTAAAGCCAATGATTCTCTTTGGGTTTCAAGTTACTAAAGTAAAAGCCCAGGAAAAAAAAAAAAAAAAAAAAGATTTCTGAACTAAAAACAGCCCAACAGCAACTTCTGAATGTGTTGAAAAATATCTCCTTTGGGAAGGAGGGCTTAAAAAAATCTTCTAACACAGTTCAAATTCAGTCATAATACTTTTGGACATAATTTGGTCTTGCAGTGCAATTCTGTTTCAACCACATTCCTGAGCTGTAGCAAAATTAAGAAATGCACCAGAAAAAAATCTAATTCATCCCTGCCTACACTACCAAGATGAATCATGCACTAAGCTGCGTCAGGTGAGCAGTGCTAGCGCAGGTTGCTGCAGCATCGAGTTGCTGCATGAAATCCAGAATGAACAAATCCAGTTTAACATGCAATACCTGAAGGGAAGTGCCAACTGAACAGGCCACATCTTCTTTAATCAAAGCTGCATAGGAGTGGGGATAGCGAGAAGGACACATCTGATGACTTGGTACAAATCGCCCATAAAAAGAAGACTGGATACTGATGGTGGTTCTGTGAGGACATCTTAGGGAAACGTATTCTCCATCGCAGGCATGGTCAGTGTAATTCTTTAACACTTGTGATATGTAACCTGCCAGAAACATGACAAGAAACACCATTAGTGACAGGAAGTTAATATTTAGTGCAGCAAAGCAAACACACAACTCACAATGAGAGGAGTAGATTTTACAGCCATCTCACACACAAAGAAAAAGGTGGAGGGGAAAGCGAAAGAGACAGGGGAGGCTGCCTGATCTGGCTTTCAGCCATGTTGTATCCTTACAGGAACTAATATTCAGATGTTCCTAACCTATTCCAGTCATATCACTTACTTACATTGGCATATCCGTCAAGTATATAGGAAATGCAGCTGAGCCAGACTCATATAGACTGCATCTAGATACTGAATCCAGTTTGGGGCCCCACGGTACAAGAGAGACATCCCTAAACTGGAACAGGTCCAGCAGAGGGCCACAATATGGGCGACTGGAGCATTCACCCTGTGAGAAGAGGCTGGGGGAGATTGGCTTGTTCAGCCTGGAGAAAAGGCAGCTTTGGAAGAAGCTATGAGCAGTCTGCCCAGCCTGCAGGGAGGTTACTGAGGAAATGGAGTCAGGTTCTTCACTATGGTGTATCACGGGAGAATGATAAATAACTTAAGTGAGAAGCTATGAGCAGCCTGCCCGGCCTGCGGGGAGGTTACTGAGGAAATGTAGTCAGGTTCTTCACTGTGGTGTGTCACGGGAGAATGATAAATAACTTAAGTTGAAGCATGAGAGGATCAGAATGAGTATAAGGAAAAAAAACTTTTTCGCTGGGAGGACACAAAGGAGCAGAAGCAGGTTCATGGTAGAGCAGGTTGCCCAGTAAGGGTGTGTAGCCTCCATTATTGAAAGTTTTCAAGAAAAAGACCCCAAAAGACTGGTGTCACCTCCTAGCTAACTTGACAGCAGTCAGGTTGCCAGAGCAGCAATTCCTGACTCTGCCACACTCAAGCTTGTAGAAAACCCTATTTATTCTCCAAGATGACCAAGTCTCCACGATGACCAAGATACCAGCTCACCCAGCCTCTCATTATGCAACACAGTTGCAGTATCCTAACCCTACTCATCCACCAAAGGGACTCCCTACAGTTTCTTAACAAGCTTGTAATACAGAAGGACCAAAATTGGAATATTCCAGAAGCAGCCACATAAATGCCAAGAAATGGGAAGTAAGGCATCCTGTGGCCTGCTGGTTGCTCTTGCTAACACAGCTCCGTACACAGTTACCCTTCATTACCCCAGAGTGCACTGCTGACTCAAGTTCAAGTTCAGCCTGTCATCCAGGACCCTTCTGGTAATGCACACAGTTTTAGAGAATATTCATTTACAGTTCTTCATCCATACTAACACTCAAACCTTACTTAGGAGTGGTTTGAAAGAATAGTGTCCAAGAGTGCCTGTCAAGGTGCCTAGAACAACTATAGTAGTTGTTCTTAGAGATAACCAACAAATAGAAAATTTACCTTCAACATTTAAGCTTCAGGGATGAGGGCTGAGTTCTCTTTTTGTCTAAATTTCAGGCTGTGCTTCTCATTTAACAATTATATTGTTGCACTGCCTCAAGGTGCATGCCAAATAGCTATTCACTCAGATCAACATATTAATTTCCAAGTCCCCAGGGCAACATTTGCTTTTAAGACAAAGACTGAGATGCGGCCCCAATAATTACAGTAAGTGACAGGCCTGCAGCAGATCAAGGAACAGCATCGTTTATTCTAGTGTCTGTATATCACTTGTTCAAGGAAGTGCTCTGGATATAAAATAAGTAAATAAAATACGAGAGTGTATCTTCTTCCCAGTTAGTAGTGCATGTGCTCTGCACAGTGCTATTCACTTGATTCTGAAGTCAGATCAGCAATTCTTCCTCCAAAGAAGAGCAAAAAGGTGGCCACCAGGAAAAGCAAGCTACAAACAAAAAATAGACTATAAGACAAATTGTTAAACCAAGCTTTCCATGCTGCCACACCAGTGCATTAGGATTCTCCCCTAAGGCTGGCCAATTAGGGAGACTGAGAAATACAACCAACGTGTAGTCAAGGCTCGTCTGTCTCCTGTGAATATTCAATTATTCTGCCAGAGCAGTCATCCTATGGCATGCCTTGCATGTTACCAGTTCAGAATAGAGAAAGTTTCAATCCCTACAATTACTGCAGATCACTTTTTGGAACAACTCCATCCTCTCTTTTCCATTAGAAATCTCAGAATAACTAGAGTTCGTTCAATCTCAAGATATTGAAGAGCTTAATACTTCGATGGTGACAAGCACCATGGTGACAATGGTGATAAGCAAAGCAGAAGATCTGAAACATCTAGCACTGGTCACTGTGAAGAGAGAAGATACTGAGTTAGGCATGGACATGATCGGGGATGACAGAAGGGTCTTCAAAAAGCAAAAGTGACTGCTTGGAGAGAATTAATGTTTTTTTTTCCCTTTAAATGTGCCAAACTAGCACTATATTCATTATCATTTTGAAAACACTGGCATTTATTTACCCATTGATTCATGTTGCCATAATCCAAAATGTGAACTGATTTCAGCACACTTTTCTGTGTGCAAAGATGACCCTCTTGCTTTTTAGGTGACAAGTCTCCAGTAACCTTTTGTGTCAGAGAGGGAACTACTGTCTATACCAAAGGAAACAGCCAGTGTACAGGTTACAAAGTTCTTCGACTGTCTCCTAGGAAGCATTAAAAAATCTCTTTTAGATGACTGCATGAAGCTCCTGCAAATCACCAATCAGCTACTGACAAACCACAGAGCATAACAGTTAAGAAACTGAGATGAGAAAGATACTATCATTCGAAGTTATCATTCGCCCTTTAAAGCATATTTCTGTGTATCAGATGCTCTTTATTAATTGAGATATGAGCTACGAGCTTACAAGTGTTCACTCCAAGCAAATACAAAGCAGGCTTTTATTAAAGTGAGTCAAAGACAGCTTCCATTCTTTTCTTCATCCTCAAATTCTGGGATGTGAAATCAACATTGTCACATTCAAGAACCACCCCCCGCACTGTACTGACACAGTCAAGTCTACTCTGTTTTGTCTTAGTTTATCTTGAGGTGGAAGTGACATCAATTCTTATGATTTTATCAGGAAGTTCTTTGGTTGTTCACTCATTATCCTATCTGGGCAGGACAGCAAGCTGGTGACAGTTTTAGACTTCCTTTAGAAAAAAAATATTTCTAATCCTCATCATCACCAAAAAAAGAAGTACTGAGAGCATGCTAAAAAACATAAAGAAAAACATCTATAATATCAAGTCCACAACACTTTTTAAAAATAGCATCTCTTTTGCGAAGCTAGGGTGACAAAAATGTCCTCAAAACTTTTTGGTTTAGTACATCTCTTTTATCTTAATGATGGACTTGTCTTCAGGACATGGTATTGTTCCTGGTGAGCCATGCTCCCAAACTAAAAGCAATCTACAGGAATCTTCACAATTCAAAAGTCCATATTGTTAAGGCAGGGATAAACACTCCAAGAACCAAAAAAAAAAAAGTGCATCACAAAAACTGAAAACCCCTTAGTGCTGACCATTCTCAAGAATCATTTCCACTATCGCCTCTCCAGAAAATTGTTGCTTGGTTCTCATTCAACACCAACCTTTAACATATGCCAACTAGAGAAAAAGAATGTTTCATATGGGATCATACAGCACTTCACAGCACTGCAAATCTCAGTATCATCCTCCACTTGCTCTTAAAGAGCTCCAACCCTGCCTTTTGAAACCAAAGCATCCGATGGAGGGGTTCACAAAAACACAGACGATATTGGAGCTCTTCCCCAACCAGGTGTAGGATGACAGCAGAGTGTCCAGTCACTCATACACATATCTCAACAAACCATGCTCCAAAACAGCATCCCCTTCTTCCCCTACATACAGTTCTAGGGGAAGAACTGTATTTATAAGAAGAAGAACCTTTTATAAATAGGGTTCTAGGTTTGCTTGGCAAGACATAGCAAGACACCAACTCATCAGTCATCAGATGACAACTGGCACCCTTCACCAGAAAATGTCTCCGTGGGTGTGTGCTGCCCTGTAGCGTCGTGGACACAGTCACAATAAAACAAACTTAACATTCAATTTACATCCTGAAAACTTCTAATAAAATTGCAAGGAAATTCAAAGAATTTTAATGGCCAAATGAACTATTACGCATATTTGAAAGCAGAGAATTTTGCTGCATCAAACTGTTTCTAAGCTGCAGTAATTCTTACTTGCAAATATAGAACAATTTCCCATTATCTGGAACATGCAAAGTCAATGCAGTAACCTTATCGTTACTAGTTGGCACAGATCATTTTATTTCAATCCTTTATTTTCCAAGATATGTGTCGTTTTTTAAAATATCAACTGTTGTTTTCTTCTAGCTTCTCCAGTTTCCTTATGGATATTTTTGAGATACTGAACGTGAAAAAGAACTTTCTTCCGGGGGAGACTTTAATCAAACACCTTCCTGGAGCTCGAACAATCCCCACGACAGACTTCTTCAGATAGGCTTTGAACTATGGCATTCCACCTTATTCTTTATATGCAGAACACCAGGCCAGCAACATCTCCCCAGCATGGTGCAGAGCCAGGGGAATAGTGTAACACATCTCTGGGACAGGCAAACAGGGCTGGAAATGTGACCCCAGGCAAGGCTTCAAGCCGGAGCCAGTGACTGAATGGAAGCATTTCATACCAGGCATTACTGATAATCCTGCGGTTACAGTAGTAAAAGCAGCTCTCTCAAATCACACAGCAGCCTAGTAAGGACAAGTGGGGTTTGTTTTGCTTTGTTACTAATACTGGGGATTAAAACTTGCTATTACAACCCACCTACAGAGAGATACGCTTTCACTTCAGCTTCTCCCCAGCTCTTTGCCTTTTAGACACCATACAGCATAGGAAAAACTTGAAGAACTTGTGAGCGTATTTGGGAAAAATCTTTTCATTCAGGGTTGAAGTCAACGCTTTCTTGCCCATTATCTGATCTTCTGTATGGCCACTGTAGCTCCAAGCAGCATCCAGCGTTAAGATAGAAAATCTGGTTTTGGAA